AAGTGCTGGAATGAGAATTAAAATCATGACATGAACGGCGGAATGGCTCGTTTAGTTCAAAATTTGATCTACAGGATTTTAGCAGTAAAGGTCTAAACTGCCTCGAAAGGCGAACCGGGATATTAAATTTAATTTCAGACAGGAGAAAAGAACTGCAAACAGTTCCATTCAAAAGTTTCACTAAGAATATTATGCCAAGCATTTCCCTACGACTAGAAAGTGTACGTAGATTTATAAGTTTTAAACGACTAGTGTATGGAGGTAGACTTACCCTAGCATCCCATCGGAAATGCGCTAAGGCGAAAAGTAAAAATTGTTTTTGAACCGACTCTAACTTGTCAGAATGGATTTGGTAGCTAGGGTTCCATACCACAGAGCCATATTCCAATATAGGTCTAACCAAAGTTGTATAAAGTGTTTTAGTAATATACGGATTTCTAAATTCTTTAGACCAACGTTTAACAAAACTGAGGACAGCTTTTGCTTTCAAGACCATGGTATCAATATGAAGACTGAAATTAAACTTAGGGTCCATATTAACTCCCAAATCAACATAGTTTAAAACTTGCTCTAGAATATGGTGTTTTATTACATAAGAAGAGGGGTGCACAGATCTAGGGGAAAAGCACATCGTCTTACTTTAAAAAGCTTTACATCGTGAGCGTATAATAAAATTTTTGAGAATTCTATTACTGAAGAGATATCGTTAATAAACAACAAGAACAGAATCGGGCCAAGATGACTACCTTGCGGAACACCAGAAGAAACATTAATTGTATCTGAAGGTGTATCCTCAAATATCACTCGTTGTGTTCTATTATAAAGATAGGAAGATACCCATTGAAGGAATCTTGGCTGAAAGCCCAGCAGATCAAGTATGTAAGTATGTATGAGAATCGAGATATTTACTTTATCGAAAGCTTTGCTAAAGTCTGTGTATATAACATCCGTATGCTTATGTTCCCTAAAACCCAATGATACATGGTTTACAAATTCAAGTAAGTTTGATATAGTCGAGTTCCCTTTACGAAATCCATGCTGAGATGAGGAAATTAACGGAGAAATCGAAAAGGTTATATGGTCAGTGATGATAGCTTCAAAAAGTTTAGGTATAACTGATAGTTTTGCGATACCTCTATAGTTTTCAATGTTGGATCTAAATCCACTTTTATGCAAAGGGATTATAAACGACTGTTTCCATATTGAAGGAAATATACCGTGTTTAAGAGAGGAATTAAATATCCTTGTCAAAGGCAAGTAAATATATTTGGCACTATTTTTTAGGAAGCATGAGGGTATCATGTCTGCGCCATAACTAAAAGATGGTTTTAACTTATTTAAATTAAAAAGGACGTCTTCTTCAGAAATAACTGGAGCGTTAATTAAAGTATTCGAACACAGCACTTGCTGATAAGAAAAAGTTTTGGAAGAATTATTACAGTAGTTTGACTTGAAAAATTCTGCAAACATATTGGATATAATATCATTGTCACTTGAAATGATAGATTTGTATTTCATTGCGGACGGAAATTTGGAAATCCTGCGTTTGGAGTTGACGAAATCATAAAACGATTTTGGATTACTTACAATATTTTGTTTAACTTTATTTAAGTAATTATTATAACATTTTTTGTTTAGGTCAAAATATTGTCGACGCAATAGCGAATATTTAGAATAGTCGACAAGTGAACCGGTTTTTTTAAAATCGGTCAATGTGTAAGATATATAATTGAAATTCAAATAATAAAATAAATAAATGAAACTTTCGATAATAGTATGTTTTTGTGTCAAAAATGGGTAGAATCGGATCAATACTTCCTTTCACATATAATTTTGCCAACACCTGAAGTAATTTCCCGGGTTTGGATCCTTGTAAGTTGCGAGAGTGTAAAATGTTCGGTTACACCAGAACTTAGAACTTCCTTACTTGTTTAAACAAATACATAAATACATAAACTTTACCTCACTCTTGATTTCAATAATAAAACATAAGCGATTGTTCACATTCAAAATAAAGGACATTTATTATATAATATTATATTTAAACCCAAATATATCTTCAACATTGGCTACACAATACATTCATACACATTTCTTATTGCAAAAACTTCTGTTTAACACGCGTACTTTATGTAAATTTATGTAAATATATATGTATGTAGATAAAGGAAAAGCATTTTATTTATCATTTTTAAACAAATCCCTTGAATATGTTTGCAATATTTCATATTTATATAATAATAAAGGCATTGTTTGTTGTTATTTACTACAAAATTACACATTACCGATGCTTGTTGTTTGTTTTGTTGTTGGCTTTTACTTGTCTAGCACTGTTTGAATATAAGTAAATATCTTTAGAGTATAAGAACATTTAAAAAAAAATATTTTTTGATGCTTGCACATTTAGTTATTCGACGTTAATTTTAATGCAAAAATGCGATTTTCAAAATTTTTTCGAATTTTCGAATACATACAAAATTTAAAAGTGTGTATATATGTATATATGAGTATGCTAAGAATTTTGTCGGCAAATTACCTCGTATTGTTTGCTTTAAATATGTATATGTATATTTTGATTTTCTATGCGCAAAAGTATGCTAAAAAGTTTTCAGTAGCTTTAGACTTTTTTGGATTTTTAAATTTTGCTTCTCACAATTTTTTTTATTTTTTTTTTTTTATTTGTAAACCGTTTTTTAGTTTCAAACAAATTTGTTGCCACACAATTTTACTTAGCCACACACATATATTTGTATTTATATATATTTACTTATAAATGGCGCATAATTTCCATGCCTTGCCATGAAATTAAAATTTTTAGGTACATCGATTTTTTTCGAATATTCAATTTTATTTTTTGTTTTCATTTGACCTGTATCATCTGTGTATATGCATATTAGTAAATTTCAGCTAGACATTTGCAGTTGAAGCAGCCTACAATACACATTCGTTTGATTTCTTCTACAAATTATAAACAGTTCATTAAAATAGGTTTACAGTTTGCTGTTTTGTAATAGTTTTATTATATATTTCTCATTATTACTAATTATGCCTTTTTTCTGAAATTTGTAAGTATAAATTTCGATCAACGCCGTACACTAATAAACATACGTACATAAAATATTTATTTTTTAGTTTTAATTCATTCTTATTTCTAAATTTTAAATTTAATTTTATATTTTGCAAATTTTTGGTTTTGTACTAAAAGTAAGCGTATAATATTTAAAAAATATGAAACTAAATAAAAAATTTAAGATATTTTTATAATAATAAATTTATTGTAAAATTAATTTTTTACAAATAATAATGTGTTTTTGTTTTTTTAGTTAAATACAACAAAATACTTTTTTTTATTATATTTTTTTACATTTTAAAATTAATTTTTTTTAATTTTAATTTTTTAATATACATTTTAATTTTTTTGTACACTAAAATATGTATATTTATATGTATGTTTGCTAAAATTTTATTTAATTTACTAAGTGTATACATATATGTAACTATGTAAATTTTAATAATTTATTTTTCAATTATTTTTCGGTAAATATTTAACAATTTACTAGTTCTAAAAATATTGGTACTTTGGAATGCGTTACGAGCAGGGCTACAGCTACAATGAGAGTCATCGAAATAAATTAAAGTTTTATATGTTATAAATATGACGAGCAGTTACATATAAGAGATGATTGAAAAGATTGGCAATTACTAAAATTAAAATAGTTTCAAACTAACACTAGTCTTTTTTCTTTTTTTTATAATTTATTTGACATTTAACCCCAAAGTTTTGTTTACTTGGTGATTTTGTCTTAAAGTTGTTGTTTTTGGTATACATTTATAGGTAAAATGTGTTAGTATTCAATATGTATGTAAGTAGACAGTGTCAGTTGACTTAATTGCATGCATGCATGTACATACATACATATTCATGTATGTATATCAGTGTGTATATGTGTGCTTATGACTTGCACTTTGAGGGACTGTCTGTGAGGCAAGATGTGGTTTTTGATATATTCTTTAATGTAAATATGTATTGAATAATATGTTAACATTTGCTTGGGTTTGTCTTTTTGGTATACATATATGTATGCATATGATTATATATTAAAATATAATATATATATTTATTAAATGTGCATGCATTTACATTAACGTTTTCTTACAAAAAAATCTTCTTTCCGCAACCACAAATTTTCACTTGTCGCAATTACATATATATTTATTATTAATAAAATATTTATTTAACTTTATTTTTTTATATATGTGTATTTGTTTTTTTATTGTTGCACATATATAAAAAATTTTTGGTTGATATTTTTCTTGTATATGCTTTTAGAGTTAACATTAAGTTTTAGTTGTTTTTCTGTTTCTGTACACTTTTCAGCCACACATGTAGTAAATATGTTTATTTATTTATCAAAGATGTATGTATGTAGTCTCTAAATTTGTCTTTTTCACAGTACATTAAAAGCTCGCAATATTTTTTGTTGTTTCTCTGTTGATAACATTCAATAATTTCTATATAAATTTATGCGTATATATGTATGTATTGTATGTATATGTCATTAGGTTGATTTTTTTTGTGTAAATATTGTTTCTTTCCTGCTACTCACTGCAAAATAATTTATTCGTTTTTTTTTTTTTAAATATTTTTACGAAGAAATTTGCAATATTATTATTTTAGTTTTGGTAACTCTGCAAAAAATATTTTAATGCAAATTAATATTTTAAAAATGTTTTGAAAATGTTTACTGTTATTTTAATTTTCTGCGAACGTTTTGCATTTTTAAGAAAATTGTATGCGTGTTTTGTATTTGTAAATCCATTTAATGAATTAACGACAGAATAGAATATGGCTTTCCGAGTTATATAACAAGCTTGGGTGATATATATTAGCTTTGCCAATACTGTTTCATATTCTGCACACCTATAAATATATCGACCGCTGAAATTTTTAATTTACACACGAAAATCGGTTTAATTAATGAATAAGTATAGATTTAAAATTATTTTAGTTTAGTTTGCGCTTTCACAATCCAAATCTAGTATATTTTCGTCAAAATGTTTAAAATGCATTTTAGCTGTATTTTTTGTCACACACAGGTTCCTAATAAATAGTATAACAAGTAACTCAATCCATTTGGTTTCTATAAAATTATACCATATATTCTTATCTAAAATACCGCATAAGTCGACTTGGACATGTGCTTCTTACAATCATACACATTTATGCTGCATAGTAAATAAAAGGGGATTCTCCAAGTCTAGGAAATGAGAAGGCAAAAAATGCAATATCAATTATAAAAATAACGAGAATGCCTTAGTTTCAGCATTTAGAATTGTTGGTAATAAATATATCATTTATAGGTTAGATTGTAAGACTTCTAAAGTAGCATTTTTTGAGATATCGGTTAGATTAAAAATTAATCTAATATTACTTGTGAGTTTTATAATATGTACTTCCTTGTGCTTTAAAAATTGTATAGTATATAACCATACGGAAAACCTAATATAGATAAGAAACAACATTTCATTATTATAGTCATACATTCTCTTAAAAACCAACCTAAAAAATCATAGATAACTGCTGAAACTGGAGGCCTGATTCTTCGTGACACAAAATGTGATTTATGTAGATATATACAAGTGCATGTGTCGTATGATTTACTACTGGGAGTTTTTTTAATAATACATTTTTAAATTAAGATAAACTGATGAGATTTGAATTCGAAAAATCAAACATACGTACAAATGATTTATTCAAGAGATTTACCAGCTTGGCAACAACAAATATAACAGGACCCACCCTGATTTTCCAGTTTGAAAATAACAACGGGTTTTATTACGCCAATTTGGAGCCGATACCAAATAATTGCTTAGTGGAATATATTCACTATACATACATATATTATTATTTATAAAGTTTCAATTTTCCAATCCAAAATTTAAAACATATTAAAGCGACATGTATGACGTTATTCATATTATCTGATAAGCAATCGGGGCATTGTTTTATTGTAAACGATATAAGCATTAATAATTCAAGTTTTACGTGGCAGTTCATACTGAAACAACGAAGCTCAAAAAACAAAAGGTATGCTATAATGATGATTTGCTTTCAGTGTTTCTCTCTTATAAAAATGGCGACGTTTGCTTGGCAAAGGTAAAAAGATGAGAGTAGCCCAACATTTTGCTTGGCTTCGCGTCGAAAACTTTTTATGTGAACGTACTCCTACAAAAGTGTACATCGAACTTTTCTGCCAAAACAAATGTCTGACGTAACGCAAAGCAAAAATTCTACGTGAATTGGCCATAACAGCTGACTGCGTCAAATGAACTAACGATCGATTAACGGTAACACAAATTTTGTAAATGTGTACTATTAATGATGACTGTATGGTTTGTTCTCTTATTCATTTACCACGTTACTGTCACATTTGCTGGATTTTAGTTATGAAGAGACTACAAACAATGATAGAATATAAGATTCTGACGATTGGCTGTTATTTCAGCTAAATAACTTCAAAACTATCTGTAATGTCACATAATCAACTTAAAACTTTCACACATTTTAGAATTTTAAGAATAATTCGACAGTATAACGTAGACGACACAAACAAGTAACACTCAAAAACTGTAACTGTAAGTAACGCATCTACCGAGAGCGTATTATCTCATTAGGGCGTGGCTAAAAGTATGTTTCCTTAAAGAAAAGTACACCTTTCTAAATGTGAATTTAGTAAACGATTTTTGGAAGCAAACTTCTTGTGCTTTTTTAAATTGAAAAGCTTGATTTGACGTTTCATTGCCAACTAATGTGATAAGGAATATGTTTGAAGCCATTATGCCAAGCCAGCTCCATGCCTTAATTAATTTCCTTAAACCACTTAACCTAACTTTAAATCAGTAAACACCCGAATTTTAAGGGAGTACAAAGCAATATTGCTTCTTGAAGTATGAAGTAAATTTTACTCCCAGAATGATAGGGACAATATTACTACATGACGTCATAAACGAAATTAACTGTCAAATTTTAATAGTAATTGTAAACAAAGACTTCCCTTTTCTCGATCATGACTAATGTGTTGTCTGTCAAACGCCCTACAAAATTGTAACTGAAACTGTCGTGTTCTGAATTTCTATAATTTTTGCTTGCACAGCGACATTCCCTCGCAACAAGAAATTGGTAACGAAATTTTTTTGTAATAGAAGTATATTTCCACTCCAATTTCACTTGCTCTGCGTTGATTTACTTTCAAGAAAACAGTTATTACTTGAGTGTGTTGTCGTTACAAGTGTGAAATGCAAAAAGTCTTGGTTCGTATAATTGGCTGCTACGTAACAAATTATTCGTAGCAAATATGAAATGTGTGAAAAACTAATTAGGTTTTCTGTAATTGGCGATTAGTGAAGCATTCGTTTGTCGTGCCTGAGGTAAATACATGCAAATGTATAATGTGTGCTTGTCACATGTATCTGGCAAATTGTAACGCGAATTATTTCGTTATGCGGTGGCAAGAAACCTGGTATAAATCAGTTAAAAATTATAACTTTGTTATTTATCACAATTTCTCTGAAGTAATATTGTAGTAGAAGTTTATTAGTATTATTTTTTTTTCAAATTATTAGCAACTGAGATAAGCTGAGCTACACGCTTTGGAAATATGTTGTTGCATGTTTATTTGCGTAGTTAAAAAAGTGAAAATACATAAATATGTAAGTAAATGATTAAAAATCATTAAAAGTTAAACAGTTGTTTTTGTAATAAAACGTATTTGATATTAAAATATTTTTTTTTGTTTTTTTATGCTTATACTTTGAATTAATTTCTTCGCAATCTACCTATTGTATAGAATTAACACAAAATACTAATATATTAATAACGAAAGCATAAATTACCACACTATTGCTTACCCTAAACGTTGCAAAAAATTATTGAAAATTGTTTACAATTTTGATCAATAACAACTAATAGATAATGTCATTTTAAACCATTGCCATTTGCGTTAAACGCAAATTCATTCCCGATAAGACGCTAATACACGCAGTTAAATTTCCATTACAATTAAGCTTACAACTAAAGTAAGATATACATATATTTGTATGTATATACATACATATATAGCAGATGAAAAAGTAAATTATGCATAAATTTAAGTGAACAGTCGAAGAGTTGTGCTATTTTCGAACGCATTCATGCGCACAAAACAGCTGATTTTATCTTTTGTTTTGGCTTTGGAGGAAATTAAAAATATTTATAAATATAAAAGTGTATTGCATTACAAAAAGTACAGTTAATTTTTGCATTTACTTCAAATATTAAAACAATGTAATATTTTTCACTTAAATGTACAGAATTATTTTTAGAATAACAGTTAAAACAATAAAGTTCTGTAGTCGAGAAAAAGTTCACTACATATTTTTATACGACTTTTACTGTTATGAGATTCTTCGTACGAAGCATGATTTGCAATGGCAAACAAAAGATATGGTAATATATAACTGTTGCATTGTGTCTTTTACCAGATAATAGAAGAGCGAATATTGAAAATGTGCCAGCACGTGCCATTTATGTCTCTAAATAAATAGTTCTCAGCGGAAATGAAAAAAATGCACAAGTGTTAGGCCAGTCAGGGATTTTATAAACATCTTTTACTTGTTTTTGATTTAATGTACACTTTTGGGTTTTAAAAACATTTAAGTAGTAAAATAGTAAAAAAAAAACTCCCTGTCCAATGCGTTGTAGTGTCGAAGAATTCGTGCAAACCAACTCAGCATAAGCAAATTTAAGGCGTTTTTGTCGAAACTGGATTCTTAGTAAAATTATTCAGTGAACCAAAAATTTAACCTCTTTTCATAAGTCCGCCATTTTATAAAAAAATGATATAAAGTCAGTCAGGTGCTTTACTGCCAAGTTTTATGTAAAGGTGATTCCGAAGATAAGCCAGTAGCCGGCATTTTGTATAAAATTGTCATTAAAATTTCTCTTATACACCCAAATACATGTTTGAAAATTTGTAAAGTTAGCCTCTTTTGAGTGATCTACACTGGCCTAATCCCTTAAAACAATAGTCTTAAACTTGCTTCTGTTTTCTATGTCTGTTTATAAGCTTACTCAAAAATGTAAGTCTAAACTACACGTCACAAAAATTTAGCACCCGAACCATGCCACACATGTAATTCTTATTGAAACGTTTCTTAAACACTCCACATTAAACCCAAAATGTCCTTGAAATTACAGTACCCAAAACCGTTAGTACATTCGCAAGTCTTTCAGTAAACAGTCGTTTCGGTTTGCTCACCTCACTACTCTTCGACATACATGTGTGCCTTCTTCAATTCGCGCTCCCTGAATCTCGCTATCAAGCATTGCAATATCCAACGATGTATATATTTTTTGAGTACACGATTACCATGGTGGGGCCTAAAATGTACTCGTTTCAACACATATTTTTCACGCAAACTATTGTATAATACCTGTCGTTTGAGCCGCTTGTAATCATGCGAGACGATTTCTTCGTGATGTATGGCGGGAAAATCGAATTGTGTATTGAGTGAGTCATCGTTACTGATTCTCAACTCATCTTCAACGTACTCTACTGTGTGTGGGGGTGTAATGTATGGGGTTAACGGTAGTGCGGATGGGGAATTATCTACGGCATCGTGTACGTTCACGAATGACTCAAGAAAATCGGTTTGCATATCATCAGCCACTACCACCCTTTCTTGGGAGTTTTCTAAACCCATCATTTCTTCTGCGTGAATTTCAGCATTTACAGCTCTCTCAATATCTTCTATACTCTCATCATCGACTTGCATTGGCAAATCGTTGGCCTGCGAATGCGCCACAACGCTGAGCACATTTTCATTCATATCACATTGTAAAACATATAAATCACTATCATTAACTAAAATTTCTTCTAAATTAATTAGTACTACATCTTGAGCTTCTCTCTCCTCAGCATCGCCATCTTCGGGATCTGATGTGACACCGGCTTGTCGATACATTTCGGCTAAAGCTTCTTCAACGCTTAATTCACGCTCTAATGTTTCGGGCGTGTTTCGGTTTGTGTTGCTGCTGTTGTTGGCGCTAATTTCAAAGGAACTACTTAAGGCATTTTTACAAAGGTCACTTAGCTTTGGTATTTTACTATTTAACGCATCCTCAGTTCGGGTATTTAACGTATGATTTTCAATGGAAGTTACGCGCTCTATATAGTTCAGTGATAGTTTCTTCAAACTCGGTACTCCACTGCCATCATCATCATCATTAACATTTATTGCTGCGCAAAACAGAGTTTCGTTCTGCGGCTGGTTTTCTTCCACTGCGAGTTCACGCGCCAAATCTTCCACATCGCACGACTTATCGCAACTCTTTACACACTCTTCCATCACCTCCGTACCCATACATTCATGCTCTGCCGCAGGCACTGTCACGTTTGTTTCACCGTTACTTGCAACGCTATCTTCATTTTGTATTAGTTTGTTATCTTCCGCCACACCATTTACTGTATCGGCTAGTTGTTCTTTTAAAACGCTTGTTGTTTTGTCGGCACTTATTTTTTCATCGTCCATTGTATCGTCTTTAACATCCTCAAGGTTTGTACTTATCTCTTCATGCCCATCACTATCGCTTTCTAAAATTTTTTTCAAGGTTTTAATGTCATTCTCCGTTATCGTTTTCGAAGAATTGATATATACTTCATTGCTAATGTTATCTTCGATATAGGTCGCTGCCGCAGTCTTTTCGTCATTTTCAAGCTCAAGTGCGACACCCGCTTCATTTGCCTGATGTTGCGAGAGTTCCCTTTCCAACTCCTTCATTTCATTGAAATCGCTTTGCACCGTTTTTACGCTACTTTGAGAATTCTCGTCCGTGGACGAACTACAACTGGACGATGAGGATGTGCGTGATCTGCGGCCAAAAGATGATGTGGACGAAACAGTACTGCTCGATGAGATACTGTCTGAAGAGTGTTCGCCAAGATCCACAATCTTTTTGAAGTAATTTTTTGACGTTGCTGTGAAGTGTTCTGCACTTCTTCTAGCTCCAAACATATCAAGGCTATTTTCCGTTTCAGATAAATGTACATCTCTACTGAAGTGCTGTGATTGCTTTGCTTGCTCGCCAAAGTCAAATGCGTTTAGCATTGCAATTTTTGTGTCTTTACTGTTTTCGTTCTTTATATGTGCTGCCGAAACCATATGCAGAGCTGTGGAAGGACTTTTAGTAATTTCCATAACAGATAAAGGACTGCTATCAATTTTTGTTGAATATTCAGCATCCTTAAATGTGCCTTCGAAGTCCATATTAGGTTCTGAAAATTCAGAAAACGTCTTCTCATGGTGAAATATTGAGAATGCATATTCAGTTACTTCTGTTTTCTGATTATGTGTTGGATTCTCCTCAACTTCTGCGGAACACGTCAGATCCATTGCTTCCAGCTCCTTATTTTCAACTTTCTCATCAATTAAATTACTCAATTCCGCTTGTTGTTTGGTAATTCGTACATCTTCGGTGATCTGATTCACATGATTTTCAGATTCATTTACTGGAATTACATGATTAACGACATCTTTGCTCAAACGCGCCAAGTTCTTTGTATCAGACGCTTCATTTTCTACGATTTTAATGCAATTATACTGATTCTCTAAAATATCCATAATTTTTGGACTTGTATTTATATCGGAAAAGAGTTTCTCAATGTCTTTCGCTAAAGGTTTCATGGTTTCGATTTCACCATCAGCTGATATATCAGCATCATATTCTGCGGATCCAATTTCTTTAACAACATTTCTGTCATGTTCATAATGAGTGACTAACTGTTCTCCATATGTAGGTCTTGTGTTAATGCTTTCTGTATTAGGTTCAACACTATCAACCATTGGTTCTGTAATAAAACCAGGACTATGAACTTCTTCCTCGAATTCACCGGTTTCAAAGCTATTGAGCTCAATTTTCACATTCTTCACATCCAAAGTAGTTGGAAATGAAATGCAAAACTCAATTTGATTCTTTGAATTTAAATTGTTTTGAATATCTTCATTACAATCGAGACCCAATTCAGTTATTTGATGTTCTTCCCCTAACTGTTTTAAGGATTCTAACTCTTCAATTTCTTGAGTTTTATTAGAAAGTTCATTTCGAACGTTCTGTTCAAAAGTTTGTTTTGCAACGAATGATTTCAACGAATCTGGGGATGTTACTTTACTACAGACCACGTTGTTAGTATTTTCTTTAAATTCATAACCTTTCACTTCCTGTAACATTGAGCTATCCCTTACACTTTCTTCATTGGTGTTTGCATATGGGTTTTTATCAATTTCTTTACTAATTTCAGCACTCTTCAAGAGTTTGTTTTGGAACAGCTCAGAATTAATGAAAGCCACACAAAGGCATTTCAATGTTTTCGGATTGAAATATTGTTTGAAATCGTTTGCAACACCAGTAGGAAATTGAGTAATACTTTTGGGACCGGTTAACGGCAGGTGGTTTTGCGACACTTTGATCATTTCTTCTTTCAACAGACTTGATATCATGAGTCGTTTGTTAATCTTAATGAATTGTCGATATAATGCCCGTATCCTACGTTGATAGAAAGAAGGACCTTTGTTTTCCTGTCTTTTTATATATTTCAGGCGAATTGTGCTTACGCGGATATTGCACTCTCTCTTTAAGCAAGGTTTGGAGAAGGTCTCTGTAAAATTGGTTTCCTTGTTCACTTCTTGTTCAAGATCATGTGATTGTTTCGGAATTTTACTCGCATCTTTGGTTGCTTCCGAAGATTTTCGCTTTCTTTTATGGAACTTCGAAAAACTTTTAATTTTTTGTGCTATCTCCATATCGCTTTCCGTATTTTGTTTGACCGTTGTGTTACTTATTTCATTGGGTGGCACTTCCTGGATTAATTTGGCAACATTTGTATTGATTTCGGACTGAACTAATTTGTCGGTTACAGCTGTAGTAAAATTGTTCTCATTGTTACTACTAACTTTATAATCAAACTCATTTCCGATCTTATTAATGAAGGTTTCGTATTCCTTCTCAAATGTGGAACCATTCGAACTAGTTGTATTGTCACATTCAATACTTCTATCAAATGCGCTGTCGCTTTTTGTTTGGACGGTTAATAAAGATTGTTCTACTCTGTGCTCTGAGAAATTAAAATCTTTCTCCACTTTTTCCGGCATTACGTGTACAGCAGAAGTATTTACAGATTTAACATTCGCAATTATTTCAAGATTTTCTGATTCGAGCATTGCATTGGGCGTAACTACTCCGAGCGCTTCAGTTGCCGCTTTCATTATAACGCTACCGTTGCGTATGGGCGTCATTTCGGTATTGATTTTTGGTATCTTTACCATCTTTATTGATTCTAGTTCATCTAGCTCCTTTTCAACATCAAAGCAATCATAGGTTACGTCCTTGGCATTGGATTTTCCGACGACATTGGTGCTGCTTGGTGTCTTAGTTGTGCCTGATATATTTGGTGCTGCGCCGCCGGACTTTTCGATATCGATGACAATGTCAGGTAAGTTTATATTTGCATACTGATTTTCCTCGATATTAATTGTGGTACCAGAGTCGATGCTTGGTTGAGTCTTTGAGCGTGATTTAAATGCTTCTTTTAATTGTAAGTTATTTACAACTATCGGCAGCGGTTGCGGCCGATATAGCGGAGCGGAATCAACAACACTGTAGGCACCTGGTGTATTCGCTTTGCTGGGAAGTTCTTGCAAGCTCGACATTTTATTTATTACTTCAACACAGTTAGTATTGTCTTCGGTGCTCATGACTTGAGCAATCGTTGGTGGTGCATTCTCCACAAACTGTAGCTCATCAGCACCACTGTAATCCTCTTCATCCTCATTCCACGTGCTAAGAAAATCACGCAAACTGGAGTAGGTTTTCGTAGTGGGTGTTGTTGGTGTTGCGTTACCAGATTTAACTGTACTCTCATGCGTTGCTGCTTTGCTATACATGCCGTCGTCGACTGGTTGCAATCCATTGGCTATGCCATAGCTATTATCGTAATGGTTCTGGCTCATATTGGTAGCCATGTGCTCGTCTAAATTGGTGAGTGTTGGCTCCGCTATGAAATAGTCATCATTTGGCGTTACCGTAGGCTTCCGGTAGTCGATTAAAGAATTCTTCGTAGCAGTAGATTCTGTGTAGGGGGGTGGCAAATTGGGTAGACGGTCAACTCTTTGGACTAAACTTTCGCGTCGCCCTTCAACTAGCGACGTAGGTTGTATAGGCCCCATATAGTTGTCGTAGCTGGTTTGCATATTGAGATCATTATAATAAACAGTCGTGATGTCACTGTGGGAACCCGGTGTCATATTACGATTAAGCGGTGAATGTGCAACGACCGCAGTAGGTGCCATATTGTTCCCATATTGAGTACTGTGGGCCATACCTGCCGGATGGGTATGATAATTCATATTCGTCGCTTCATAGGTAGGCGTTGCAGCGTAAACATCATTTGTATTCGCCTTTGATTTGTTGGCAGGACCATAATCTAGCACGTTATATTTGATAACAGGGTTGTTACCACTGCTGACTGCAGTACTGTTGGTGGCGTACGGTGGCGTTTGCGAGTGTGGACTATATGTATTCGGTGGAAGGTGAGGATGGTGTGCCGTACGAGGATAGTAGCAGTTTTGTTGTTGAAATTGTGAGCAACAATTTTGGCGCGCAGTGGCTGTAGCTGCGGAAGGCGTGTAAGGATGATGATATGCGAGAGAAGGATGTGCAGACGGCGCCAAGGCGGTTGGCACGCCGCTTGTAGGTAGTGGTACATGGTGTGGATAAGGGTGTGATAAACGTTCAGCTAGTGCGGGTACAAGGTGTGCTGAGGCGTGCGCCGAATTCGACCAGGCACTACGTCCAGTCGCATTCGACGTCATATACTGTTGGTGTGGGTTATAATATGAATTGTACTTATCATATTTGTTGCTATACTTGTCAGAAGTATAGTAGATATCACGATTGGCGGCGGCTGTGGGGTTAGTCGGTACATAGCTGGTATTCGTCGGCGGTATGGCGGCAGTCGGTATACCGTTGGGCGACGGCAGCGTACGACAATTACCGTTAGCATACTCCATGCTCCAGTGCCAAGATGACGTGGCCGATGACTTACGGTAGGCGTCGTTGGGAATTTCAGCAGCATACTGCGGTGGGACTGACGTGGATGCAGGCGGCGCGGGGGCGTACGGTACTGCATTGTAGGGCATTGCTGAGAGGTTGGCGGGTGGTGTGGTTGTATAATACGGTGACTGCGCCACAGTACTCACTGCGTTATATAAATATTTATCATACTTATCGATATAAATGCTGCTATTGCTGTTACTGCCGTTACTGTTATTCGACGCATTGCCGATAGGAATGCCGACAGGCATAGCTGTATTGCCATAATGCATACCCAGACGTTGTTGCGGCAAGCGTGCATTCGGCAGCGTGTTAAATGCTTTCACTTGTGTCGGACCCGCACCATACGGCACGTCCTGTAGCGGTTTTCCTGCGTGATGCTGCTGAAAGCTTTGGGTATAATTCACTGTGTTGCTAATATCTAATGGTTGGTTCCCGTAATTCAGATAACCCCCAAGGGTTGGCATTTTAGTCCCAGAGGACATTCTATATTTGATGGAGTCCCCATAGGTGCCCGTACCACCCGTTTGCGCTGAATTCGCATAGAACGGCGTTGCGGCGGCCTGTGGTTTGGCGGGCGTGTTTGGCTCACCAATACGTTTGGTGGTATGGAGCCCGGTTTCGCTGCTATTGTTATTGTAAATTTTGTTGTTGTTGGCAGTATTACTATTAGGCTGTAATGCCATCTGCGTGGGCGGCTTACTTGGCTTCTCCAAGGTTGTATAATACGATGTAGTATGTCGCATGCCCAATAAATTGCGTTCACCACCACCACCGGACGGCTGATAGCTTTCGCCACCACTTAGATAAGCGTACGAATCGTAGGTGTTATCATATTGCGAGGATGTGGGCAACTGCTCCGTTAATTGATATGAATGTGTTTGGTGTGGGTACTGTGGATGTGGTGGATGATGAAGTTGTGGTTGATGCTGCTGTTGTTGCAGGTGGTGTTGGTGTTGGAACGTTTCATTGTAGTACGGCGTTACGGCAGCTATTGTGGCCACAGGTGTCGGCTCGACCAAGCCCACAGGTGTGTTGGAATGCGAGTCCGAATATTGACTGCTGCTACTGCCGGCCGAGGCGGGATTTGTGGGAGTGGTGGCACTCGCATAGCCACTACTGTTGCTGCTGCTACTACTGCTGCCGCAGCTCATGTTGGTATTGCTATTGCTGGCGGCGCCCAGCGGCATTGCAATTATAGATTCAACAGTCGTAGTATCCATATTCTGAAGTCTACCACTTTTCGTTCACGAAAAAGTTAACTTCCGGTAAACGGTGTTGAAACTGTAAATAAAATGTATTCGGCTTTCAGTGGTAATATTGAAATTTGTGGAAATTGCTAAAAATTAATAAAATCGTCTTAAATTAAAAGTAATGGCCCTAATGTACGGCGAATGTGCCAAGAAAACACCCACGTTGAAATTAGATTAATAAACCGTAAAAATAGTAATTATATTAAAGTACACATATATATATTTTTGTTTTCTAAAACTGCGCTTGTTATTTAGATGCGCACACTTCAGTCCTCTCAACGCAAATGTTCGTCCACTTTCATGGAAAAGCTTAAATAAATATTGGAAAATACGAAAACGAAATGAAAAGCGCTGTGCGCGGAATTGGGACTTTATGTGACCCAGCCGTATGCATGTATTTGTGTATGTAAGTAGATAATCTACGGTCATTTACTAATATGTTCATTAAATATTAACGATTAACTGTCATTTTTGTTGGTCAACTTTGCTGCGGACCTTACTACGTTGCTACATTAATACAAATGTACATATACTCGGAAGAGAAGTGCGTACATATGTATAGCTATCAATATATAATAATATATATCTGATATAAATGTATATACATGCATATATGACACTATATACATACAGAACAATATCTAAATACATACATATGTATGTAAGTATATTCATATTTTTATACCCACATGTATTTACATATGTATGTAAGTATATATTATTGTCAAATGCACCATAGCAGGTGTTCAATCGCGTTTTGGTTTCTATTAGCGTCTATCAGCACATAGCCTCGCACGCTTTTTGAAACCACTACTGGGAACCGCCAATTCGTTTTCAGCTCTTTTTTCTTGGGGCAACCACGTGATGCGAAACAAACTCTTTACTGTTAGCTGGAAAATAGTGTTTTCTAACATTAACCGACAAAACTTATTCAGAGAACGTAAATGAATATTCATTTACGTTCTCTGCTATAGCTATAGCTAGATTAGTTTTTAAAGGGCACAACTCAAAAGCAGAGAAGTTGCACCTTTATGCCAAGGAGATAAATACTTATATCGATATTAAATAAAAATGTCCCACACTTTGATATACCCATATTTATGAATATTTCAAATCGATATCATTGCAAATTCGTGCTATGAATTTTATATTCTACAATTTTAGAGTAAGTCCTAGTCTAATAATAGCTGTCTTCGATTCGTCAAGCGGTACTCTCCAGCCAATCGAACAAACTATACCAGATGCTCAAACAAATGGGCTCCACTTGTTGTGCAACCCTGCTCTAGCATGTCTTTTGACGCATGCGCAATAGTGTTATAATTCTTTCTTTGTGGAGAAATTCTTTTTTTTTCGAGTTGAAAAGCTTTGCAGTACCAATAGTTTTGAAAATACAAGAAAAAAATAAATTTGTATTTTCATTTGTCATTTGAACTATTCACAATAGTAAAACTGATCCAAAATATGCAAAACAAAACTTGGTAGCATTGAAGATAGCGGCTATACCAATTTAATAAAGTATCCGCATGCGCGAATTCAACTCGATAAGTTTGTTATTGCTTTTACATGTATTTTTTTTGACAATAGGGCTAACATAATATCATGATAAAACTACGGTAGCCTAGAGAAAAAGGCAGATGGGCATTTGCTGCGGATGCGGAAGATTTGACGATTGTCATTATAAATGTATGCAAACATTTTCAGAGACTTTTATGTTCTGTTAAATTGCTTGATTGGTAACTACAGAAAGGATTTCGAAAGCGTAACTAAATTCAGTTCTTTGTCGAAGTCAAGATGCAGCGAAAGTAAACCTACCGCGGACGTTTGTACGGATTTAAGAGAGGAAATCGTCTATGACTATATTAAATATTGAATTATCATTACGATTACTGGTCAAAGATGGCAGTACTATTTCCAAAAATTGAATAATGAAACATTTGTTTAATCTGTTGCGCTGAGTGAAATATTGGAACATTGATATTATAGTCAAGACTTCGTCACGTGATTAGCTTTATCAAATCCAACTACCAAAGAAAATATTTGATCTAAGTGCATCGAGATATTCGTAAGTAAAAAATTACATAAATATACGCGCCAAAGAGTAAAACGAAAAAAAATCAAAAAATCGTTCACTTCGATTACACCGATAACTTCGGTTCACAAATAAAATATATATTCATACAAGAGCTTGTTTTGGATCGTTAGTTTGTATGTCAGTTGTTTGTTATAGTGTTATGATTTGAACGATTTTCTCGGAGAGCTGCCTCGTACAATAATCCATGCCAAATTTTGTGAAGATACTTTTTCAAATAAAAAAGCTTTCCATACAAGAACTTGTTCTTAATTGGTCAGTTTGTATGGCAGCTATATGCTTTAATAATCAAATCTGAATAATCTATTCGGAAAGCGGTGTAGCGGTGTCTTGGATAATAATATATGCAAAATTAAAAAGTTTTCCATACAAGGACTTGAGTTTGATCGGCCAGTTTGTACAGCAGCAATATGATATAGTTATGCGATATCGGCCATTCCGACAAATGTATAGGTTCTCCGTGAGAAAGGGAAGTGGGCAAAATTTCAGATCGATATCTCAAAAAGTGAAGGTCTTAGCTCGTCACCCAGATCATTTATATATATACCTTATAGGGTATCCAACCAGTTCTTTTGGGTGTTCCTAACATCGTAGCAAAATTATTATACCCTGTTCGGGGTTTAAGAATCAAAATGTAAGGTTGGGTTTATATAAAGCTATAAATGAATTATTAATTTTTTTTCTGTTTTCATTTTGATGTAAAAGTTAAGAACATAGACTTATAGACAATCCTGGATAAAAATACTAACGTAGACCATTACTCATTAGGGCTAAATATATTTTTCCAAATTTTAATTTACTGGCAAGCTTCTAATATTAACATTTTTATACTTTCGCAACTTGTTGCTACAGAGTATAATAGTTTTGTTCACCTAACGGTTGTTTGTATCACCTAAAACTAATCCAGTTAGATATAGGGTTATATATATATAAATGATCAGGATGAAGAGACGAGTTGAAATCCGGGTGACTGTCTGTCCGTCCGTCCGTCCGTCCGTGCAAGCTCTAACTTGAGTAAAAATTGAGATATCTTTATGAAACTTGGTAGACATGTTTCTTGGTACCGTGAGACGGTTCGTATTGCAGATGGGCGTAATCGGACCACTGCCACGCCCACAAAACGCCCCATTAATCAAAAACAAATAAATTGCCATAACTAAGCTCCGCAATAAGATACAAGACTGTTATTTGGTACACAGGATCACATTAGGGAGGGGCATCTGCAGTTAATTTTTTTTTTTAAGTGGGCGTGGTCCCGCCCCTAATAGGTTTAATGTGCATATCTCCTAAAGCGATAATAACAAAATTCACTGGAAGCAAATGTTTTAGAACCTCACCTACAGTGTGAAAATAGTTGAAATCGGGTGGCAAATCCGCCCACTCCCCATATAACGGTACTGTTAAAAACTACTAAAAGCGCGATAAATCAAGCACTAAACACGCCAGAGACATTAAATTTTATCTCTGGGATGGTATGAGATGACTTTGTAGGAACCATGTTCAAAATTACATAGTGGGCGTGGCACCGCCCACTTTTAAGTAAAAATCGATATCTTAGGATCTGCTTAACCAATTTCAGTACATAACACTCTTCTCTATATTATAGTGCGAAATCGGATTACAACCACGCCTCTTTTCCATATAACACCATTTGAAATTTCATCTAATTTTTTCACTTTCCACTGTGCAAATCAAGCAAGAATGATTGTATCGGGGTAAAACTTTGCGTGAATAATGCGTTTAAATTATGCCACCTTGTGACCAAAAATTGTCTAAATCGAACCAAAACTGTTCAAGCCCCTAAGTACTAAATATGTGGACCCCAGGACCTATAGTTGACCTTCTACCGAAAATATCAGTCAATCCACAAAGAAATCTCAAACGAGTATACCATTTGACTTTGCGAGAGTATAAAATGTTCGGTTACATCCGAACTTAGCTCTTCCTTACTTGTTACATTTGAATTTCTTGAGAAAAAGGACTAAATAAGACAGTTATATTTATAAAACCTAAAATCTCGAATCATATAGTCAGGTATAAATGATTCTACAAAGAACTTTCAAAGCTGAGTCAATTGGTGACATCATTGTTTAATTTTTTGTGCTAAATCAATAGGGATAAATAAATAAAATGTAGAACTTACTCATTTATTTTCGAGAAAAAATCTTAAATTGTGTTTGCCATAAAATGTATCATAACTATCATATGGACCTATATTTATGGTAAACAAAGTACTTTAAGTATTTATGCACCAACGGTGAAAGAAATCAACCTCTGATTTAATTGTTTTTTCGAGTACATATACATAATTAATGTACGAGTTTATGTTTGGATCACTTTACTAACTTAACTAAAACTTATGTGGAAGCACCCAATAACTCAGCATATAGTATATAAACAAAGAACTTCAATAATCATAACAACGAAACAACACTGAAGCTGCAGGAGTCGCCAGCGGTCCCATAAACAAATATTGGGCGATATACTAATCTGGATTTTAAGAATCAAGTAAATTTAAAAATAATAAACACTTAATATTTTGTAAAATGTTTGCTTTTTTAACGAGAGGGTATCCATAATGGACCATTTCCATTCAGTAATTTAAACAAGCGTGTTATGTGACAAAAGTCGCGCCGCTGAGAGTATTATGTACATATATTGAATATACAGTGTGTCACAAAAGTTAAGATAATTAATTACTTTAAGAAGTTAGAAGTAGATTAAAATTGAAAACACTCTGTTAAATTTTTTAACCTTCTCAATTATATCAAGTAATCAATTACAAGTAAAACTCGAAAACACATTAACTTCTGTTGCACCGAGTCTTCAATACCCTTCATAAATACAAAATATTCCATACAAGAGCTTAATTTTGATCATTCAGTTTATATGGCAGCTATATACTATAGTGGTCCAATATCGGTTTCGACAAATAAGTAGCT